GGTTTGTTAGCCCCTTGACAAAGTTCCTCGGCAGATGTGGGTTGTGATAAGTATTTTCATGATGGACTTGGCATACAACCTGAACATTGGGGCAACATCATGACGGGCAGCTCGGATGACGGACTGTGCGGAGTTGACAAACACATCTTGACAGAGGCAAGGCATATTTCACATGGACGTACGGGATGATATGACAGTGGCAAGGAAAAACCATGTCAAAGCAAGGGCAAAGACATGCCAAGGCAAGGCAACACAAACAATGAAAAAGGCATGGACAGATTTGATCAAGTTGGGGGCGACTTGACATAAGTAGGCAACTGAGGCAACAGACGTGTGCGGCTAAGTCAATGGGCGGCAAGCTGTGGTCATGACATTGGGGCGGAGCATTGTCAAAGGGCAAGGCAGGGCGCAATGCCAGCCTTGGGCGTGCAACAACTGGCCAAAACAAGCACATGCAGTGCACATGACAGGGCAGTTGAGCGGTTACAACTGCCCCATCCAAACATGACTGATCATGGGGCTAAGTGGAGGCACATTTTTAGATCATGGCTGATTGTGTGGCTTAGTGATACACGTTTTTAGCATGTTCTCCATGTTTGCCCATCAGTTGGGGCTTGTCAACTGATTGCTTTAAATGCTGCCAAGTGTAATTGGGCAGCCTGCACTATAAATATGTGCATAAGGCTCATAACTTAGTCTTGTGGCAATTTGTTAAGACCTAAACGTCTAAGTGTATTCCTAAGGGTGGAAAATCATTTCGGGGGAGGGAACTAGGGTGTTCTTTGTTCTTGGCCATAGGTTTGGCTTTATTGTATTCTTGTATGCACATATTAATACGAGTTGGGAAGAGATTCTTGTAAATTTGTGTGTGCCTTTACTTTGCTGCCTAAATTATATTCTAATTAGTCCCAAACGTCCTAAAATAATTTTAAGTGTTGGAAAGCACTACTAGAAATTCGGCAAAAACCGACTAAGGTCGACCGGCCAACTTTGGTCGGTCAAATAACCGACCAAAAACTGACCAAAGTTGGTCGATTTTTTTTTTACGAAACCGACCAACTTTGATCGGTTTTCTTTTGCGCAAAAATGCGGGAAACTATTTTTGAGTCCCGCGAAATTTATTTTTCAAGAAACCGACCAACTTTGATCGGTTCAATTAAAATAAATAAAAATAAATATTATAAAAACCTACCAAAATTGGTCGGTGAATTCGGCCGATCATTTTAAAAAACCGACCAACTTTGATCGGTAATTTTATTTTTTAATAAAACCGACCAACTTTGATCGGTAATTTTATTTTTTAATAAAACCGACCAACTTTGGTTGGTTATTTTCGTGTGAAAATATAATTAAAGAGTATAAATCAAATAAAAGACAGTCTTAAAATAAAATGCACCAATAGTCTAGTGGTAGAATAATATCCTGCTACAGTACAGACCCCGGTTCGATTCCCAGATGGTCAATCTTTTGATTACATAATTAAAATACCGACCAACTTTGGTCGGAAAAAACCAACCAACTTTGGTTGGGTTTTTTTGCAATATTTTTTTTTTTGAATTTAATTGACCGACCAAAGTTGGTCAGTAATTTCCGACCAACTTTGGTCGGTATGCCTTTCCGACCCCTAAAATACCGTCCACACGTAAATGGTCGCGTTTTGGACGGTTATTGGCCATTACCGACCAAAGTTGGCCGATTTTTTTGATCGATTTTTATCGAATTTCTAGTAGTAAGACTGAAGTCAAGACTGAGCTTGCCTGCCGCACGGTGGTGAACCTCGGGCAAAATTCGAGTGACATAAATCACCCCTGTGAAAGTTAGCAACATCAAGCGAGAGAAGAAGCCGGAACAAGCTACAATTTTGTGATATTATCACGTATTACTCCACCAAATTAATCAATTTTTCCGGCCATGGGAAAGTACTGAAACTTTGATTATAGGACCTTCTAGTAGATATAACAAAATTCTATTAGGGCTTTTGCCATAATGAAATGTCCTTAATTCAGTTAATTGCAAACTGCTACAACTTCATTTTTCAAATGTAGCTAAGCCAGAAAGTCAAAGATCAACCACTCCAGCCAAATTAATGTCGGCACAAGGTTTTCCATTATGATTAATTGAAACTGTGTCACAGATAAAGTCGAAATATATGAAATTATCATGTTGGAAAAACAAATCGAAGTTAATCTCATATATAATTTTCCCTTCTTTTTTTCCCAATATAACTCTCAAGGTGAAAAAAGATAAAGTATGGCTGGTCAATATTCGTAGGTTATCCCAACAAAATAAAAAAGTTGACGTCTCACGACACAACCAGTCATCTATACAATGGGATAAGGTGAAACTTGGATATTTATTTGCAATCAATTCCCCATTTTATTTTTAAAAAAGGTGTCAAGCCATGAAATACAATATACCGTCAATAACCTTACGTATTAATAATTTAGATGAGGGAGAATTACACAAACCTCTCACGAGGTTTCTACTTCTAATATATATACATCCCCTATAGTCTTATTTTTATTTTTTCTGGATCATTTAAATATTTCACATACATCTATTCTTTCGTATTCTTTGAAACACAAGTATAATGTAATCCACAAATGGACAAGTTTTTCTATGACAAACTAGCTTAGTTTATGTAAAACTTCTATCCTTGGATGCATTGAATTTTAATTGTTTTATGCCTACCAACTTATCTAAAATATATTCCCACATAAATAATGATGGATATAATAAAATAAAACCGAATTCCTTAAAAAAAATGATTATTTTTTCCCTAATCCCTTTTTAACTTTTAGAAAATCTTAGTCTTATTTCTGTGTTTATTTTGAATTTTCTTTTAAGGAGTATTTGAAGAAGCTGAATCGAGGAAAATATGGATATATCTATGATCCAATAAAATATAAGAGTATACTAACTACACAAAAGAAAAATATTAGCACGTACAGGCAGCTTTGTCCATTTGTAGGTTATAATATGATTTTGCTACTTTAAATATGAAATAATGCTGATTGTGTAATTCTTGAAACCATAAGCAATATATGTTTTTACAAGTCGAAATATCGAGGAAAGTTTGTGAGATTCTTTCTACAATATATTCAACAACTATTAAATAAGTTTTAAATTTTTTAAAATGTTAAACTAGTCTCTTGGCCCGGTTGAGGACAAGATACGGGAAGCATGTCTTACGTGGTTTGGTCATGTGAGGAGGAGGAGCAAAGATACCCCGGTGAGGAGGTGTGAGAGGTTGACATTAGAGAGCCTACGGAGAGGAAGAAGAGGTGGGGAGAGGTGATTAATTAGGCAAGAAATGGCGCAGCTTTAGCTGACCGAGGACATGATCCTTGATAGGAAGGTATGTAGGTCGATGATTAGGGTAATAGATTAGGTAGTCTAGAGTTTTCATAACAGTAGTATTGGCAGACAGTTTCGCTTTCTGTTGGTAATACGTTTTTATGACTAATCATTATTTTCTTTCATTGTTGATCACCTTACTGTCTTGTTTTTATTCTGCTTTTATATGGTTTTTGGGTACTGTCCCTTCTTGTCTATATTTGCATTAATGTGGTGTTTATACTTTCCTGAGCCGAGAGTCTATTGAAAACATCTTCTCTGTTGTTGTTATTAAACTAGTCTCTTATCTGAACATATATATTGGAACAACAGAAGTATAAATTAACAAAATACAATGTGGTAATAATATAACATTGATTTGCTTAATCGTGATAATAATTAATAACTTGGTGGTGAAATTGTTTGTAGAAGTTGGCAAGAAAATGAAGTTAACGTCATATCTGTTTTTGCTTTAAGTATTTGATAAGCCAGCGAAGCTTTCACGCATGCATATGCTTTAAGCTAAACAAAATCCCATCAAAACTGAATCTGAATCAAATAACCAAAAAAGAAAAAAGAAAAAAAGAAGAGAAATTGTGTAAAATGAAAAAATAACACCAATTTTGTGTAAAAAAATAAATATAAATTAATGGAATGTTACAAGAAAACTAAAGGAGAAATTGTCGGACCAAAGATCAAATTTTCCTTAAAGAATTGTGTGGGGTGAGTTGTTACTCCTGCAAAAGCCTCCATCCCTCACTTTTCACTTTTTAGCAGCTTTTTAAATTTTAAATCAATTAATTAATAGCATTAGCATGTTCCTAAAATTATGCTTTTCAGTTGAAGTAGCTTTAAAATCCTTATATAAATATGATTTACAGTAATCAGAACTAGAACGTTAGGATATGAACCTACCTTATTTGGAAAAGATTATATGTAGTCGGTACATAAAATCTACAACATAATATTATACGACTAGAATTTCTTCTTCCACTTCTAATTAATGCCTTTCTTCAAAATTTGAAAAGCAAAATACTATTTTCAATAATAAAAGAGACTTAAACTAATTATTTCAGTCGTTGTTCCTAAGAACTTGCCGTTGCTAAATTTTGTATGAATTAGAACATTTAGCTATAAAATTCTGTTTAGGCGAATTTTTTGTATCTACTATCACTCAAACAAATGCTAAAATTCTACGAGAATCAAGCTTCCAAGTTGATTTAGCAAAACAAGGAATAATTTTAACTTGAGAAAATCTTTGTTCTTTGTGTTAAAAATTAAACAAATATACGGAGTATCATTTATAAAAATGCAAAGAATAAAGAGAAGATCTGGTTTGCTTCTGCCACATAAAAAGAGGTTCTCATAATCTCATGAGATTTTAATTTTGACTAAATTAATGAAAACAAATTATACAAATATGGAATGAGACCCAAGAAAGAGCATTTTTAAGATCCCAAGCAAAGGATATATTAGTCCAAAAATTAAGTACCCCCATTCTTGGTCATGAGTATACAAGAGTTGTATTACCCTATAAAGTGGCGACAATATCTCAACAAATAAAATCTTTTTTAAAGAAAACAAATTGATAAAGATCATTACTTCCTTTTTATGATACAACATTTACTCCATTTCACAACGTCAATTTTTTTAACCCCACCACCCCCACTGAACCCCTCCCCCCAACTAGCAACTTACCACCATTATAAGAATACATATATGTATGTAATTTGTACTCCTATATCCTAAGATTATACATATGTTATACACAGTGTCTAGTTGAACCTATATTCAAAGGTGCACTTGTTTACAGATTGTCACATTGGGTCATTGACACAGTACCAACTAGAGGATAAAAAGTGTGTGTGTGTGTGTAAATGAGAAAGGGAGAGCAAGAAAGGAATGGGGTGAGAGAAAATGAAGCAGCTGAGTTGGTTTTGACAATCACAGCTGCTAATTAGGCTTCTGGTATTCATTCAGATTTCTGTGTTCTTGGGTAACTTTCTGAATTTGGTTTTGTTTTAAAGATCCAATTTTTTTGCTTGTTTATTGAGGATCATTTGTTCCACTTTATTGGGTCAGTGTTCTTGATGTGAACAGTGCTTTGTATTTTGATGTTGTGGGTACCAATGACACTTTTTAAAACAGTTTTTTGCTTCCAGATTTTGTTCTTCTGGTTTGTTTTTTTATTCAAATCATAAAAAGATTGATTTTTTATGTGGTTTTACTCGTGCCCATTTGCTCAAAATAAGTGATTTTCATGTTGGGGTTTGTAAATCTTGTCAATTAGGAGTCTACTTATCAGAAAAAAAAGAATCTTGGTAGTTAAGAGTTAATGAAAATTTCTCCATTTTCATTTTGCTACTTAACAAGTCTATTAATGAAGCCTTAATCAGAATTAGGGGTTGCTTAGAAGTTAGAATGTTCCCTTTCTTGTATGAATTTGATATGTTTTGTCAATTGGTGAATTGTGGGAACATACTGTTAAATTATGATGTGCACAGTAGTTAATCTTTATGAGATATACTTGTCTAACAAATTGAGAATTCTTTCATATTTTTGAGATATTTCTGGCTTATAGCACAGTTTGTAATGTATGAGACCTGATTCTCAGTCAGTCCTTCCCTTCCTTCTCCTGTTCAGGTTGCTTTTGATGCACAGGCATTGAAACTTTTAAGTTGAAAAGTAATTGGAGCTGCACCTCTGGTTTGTGCTTGGCAGACCCCAGAGGCACAAAACAGGTATTTTGCAATGATGTAATAAACTTCAATGCCCATTTCACATGATTTTCATTCCTAGGCCTTGATCCTGTACACCCAAAATTGGTTTTGTCTGCTTTCTTCTTAATCTGTTCTCTTTTCCTATAGGGGCTTGGTAGTTGAGCAGTTTAAAGTTTGATATTGGCCTGGGATCCATCATTTCTATTACTGGTATAAAATTCCAAGGATAAATCCAGTAGTTTTCTTGTTCTTTGCTGGAGTCATGGCAACCTTGAAACATTCGGACTCCAGGCGCAAGTACTCTTGGTGGTGGGATAGTCATATCCCAAAGAACTCAAAATGGCTTCAAGAGAATCTTACTGGTGAGTACCTCTGTACTTGGCTCTACTTTTGTTTTTGTTCTCCTTGGCCTTGCAGAAGTTGCTTAGTTCTTAATATTTTTATGCGCTCATTTTTCTCGGAAGAAATAGATTTCTACTGTCCTTAATAGAATATTTGGTGTTGTGATTTTTATTTGGATCACAAAAAAGTAACGTCTATGCAATACAGGATGGTTACACTTGAATATAATATGATAGTTGGATTTGATACCATCTGCTTCATGCATTTATTTTTTGAGAAGGAAAAAATATATCATCAAAGCATCAAAGAGAAACAAATATATTTGTTCCGTGTTGGGCTTACCATGATTTTATTATATTGTGGTAAAACTGTAAAAGGTTTCATGCACGCTCAGATCATACTTTTCAAATGCTTTTCTTTGTGTCTCGCTTTATGCCTTTACCATAAGAATCTGTACTTAACAATGTGGCCATTTTGGGGCATATGTATATGATGTGTATATGTAGCTTATGCTTGGGAATTGGTTACCTGCAATTTTTTTGAGTTTTTCAAATTGAGAGGTTTTTCACCAGAGTATTTAAAATGTGTTTCATTGTTCCATTGCCTTCTCTACTATAGGTTATTTTTGCACAAAATTCTTGGAGTGTCTACATAACTTATCTTTCTGCCCAAAAACAAGACTAACATTCAGGGACTTGCCTTGAATCTATGTTCTAGCTAGTCTTCATGTTACTGTCCCTCTTTCCCGAGGCCGATTTTTTTTAGTAAGGGGTGATATGGGCTGCCTTCTAAACTTTTCACAAACTAAAATCTTTTCTTTTATGTTTATTGGTAATGGCAATGGCTTGTGAAACTAAATAGGGGCTTTTCCTTTTTGATTGAATAGCCCATTCTCATGATCTTTAGTAAGTAGGTAGGCAAACCCATATGTCCTTAGTAGCAGTGGCAGAGAAGAAGGACCGATTTCATTCAACATTTGATTCTCAAAATTTAAAATATCTTCATTTTGTTAAAGAGAGTGAATTTCAGATATCTTTAAAAATTAATTTTGCCTCCCAAACTTTTGCAGAATTTGTCTTTACTGTTTCCCTATAGATTGGCGCTCCAGTCTTTTCAAATCCTACTGCCTCCCTCTCTTGTGTATGTAACAGTATGTGCACCACCTGCCTAGTGCCAGTGCCTGTGATAGAGAGCCTTACCTTTTTATTCCCGTATAATATACATGTATCCTGTAATGGAAGTATTTATTAATACCCAACTCTTAATGGAAATATATGCAAAAACACTTCAATTGGAACCATGCTTGCTAACCTCAACTAACTCATGTATTTCACTCAGCATAGCACATTTAATATATCCATTTATTAACCAATTATTTGTGCATTATGTGCATATATTATGGGAAAAGGTATCTAAGTAGTTGTAAAAGCTGGTGGAATAATGCTGTGGCATTTTGTCTCCTCCCCGCATTTAACAAAAACGTTCTGCTTGTTTAACAGGAAAAGTATATATTAATTCTTTATAATAGATTTTCTCATCCAATATGAGGAATTAAACCTGTTTTTGTTTCTTATTTTCGCAGAAATGGATTCTAAAGTGAAGGCAATGATCAAGCTCATCGAAGAAGATGCTGATTCATTCGCAAGAAGGGCTGAAATGTACTACAAGAAAAGGCCCGAGCTAATGAAATTAGTCGAGGAGTTTTACAGGGCATACCGAGCATTAGCTGAAAGATATGACCATGTAACGGGCGAGCTTAAGCAGGCCCAAAAAACCATGTCAGAGGCATTTCCCAATGAAGTACCCTTTCTTCTTGAAGATTCGCCAGTGAGATTTTCAACACAGGAGGCAGAGCCACATACTCCTGAAGGGTTGCGCCCTACTCATGCTTTGCCAGATACAGGTGACTTGAATCAGCATGCGGTGGGGTTACTGCTATCAAGAATGTATGCTGTAAAGAAGAGTGGAGATTCTGATAAGGGAACAAGTGAGTGGGGTCTAAAACAGTTGTGTGAGATGCTTGGGGCTGGAGAAGAAATGCTAAAGAATTCAAAGTTCCTTGAGGGAACATTGAAAAAAGGTTTGGACTGCAATTCAGAGGAAAAAGTACAAAGTTTGCATTCTCAAGTATCTGAATTATCAAATGAGAATCAAGACCTCAAGGCCAAAGTTGACGCCGAATCAGAGCGTGCAGGTCAAGCTGAAGGGGAAATTCAAATGCTGAAAGAAGCCCTAGCTGGTGTGGAGGCGGAAAAAGAAACTACATTCCTGCAATATCAGCAATGCCTGGAAAAGTTGTCTGCTGTAGAGAGGGATCTCAGTACTGCACAGAAGGACTCCTTTAAGTTCAATGAACGGGCTAGTGAAGCTGGAAATGAAGTTCAGAAGTTGAGGGAATCCCTTATCAAACTGGAGGCTGAAAGAGATGCTGCTTTGAGCAAACACAAGGAGTATCTGGAACGGATATCTAGTTTGGAAGATAAGGCTTCTCAAGCACTTAAAGACACAAAAGGAGTAAACGAGCGAGCAATTAAGGCAGAAACCGAAACTCAGCATCTGAGGAATGAGATCTGTAAATTAGAGTCTGAAAAAGACTGTTGTTTTCATCAGTATAAACAATGCTTGGAAAAGATTTCTGAACTGGAGAAAAAACTCTTGGCGTCTCAGGAAGAATCCAGACTTCTTAGTGAGAAAGCTGATAGAGCTGAAATTGAGATCAAGAAACTGAAAAGGTTGGTTATGGAGCTAACTGAGGAGAAAGAAGCCTCAGTCCGTGAGTATAAAAACTGTCTGCAGAAAATATCCAAACTTGAGCATGAACTATTATGTGCACAAGAGGATGTAAAACGCCTTACTGGTGAGCTTTCGGCGGGCGCTGCTAGGCTTAGAAATGCCGAAGAGAAGTGTGTTCTGCTCGAGACATCAAATCAGTCATTGCACTCTGAGGCAGATAGCTTGGCGACGAAGATAACTATGAAAGATGAAGAGCTTTCTCAGAAGCAAAGGGAGCTGGAGAAACTTCAAAGTGATTTGCAATATGAGCACTTAAGACAAGCCCAAATTGAAGCCACACTTTTGGCTTTGCAAAATTTGCACTCTCAATCTCAAGAGGAGCAGAGAGCTCTGGCCTTGGAGCTCAAAAATGGCCTTCAACTGTTGAAGGACATGGAAACAAGCAAAAATAGTCTGGAAGATGAACTTCGGAGAGTGAAGGATGAAAACCAAAGCTTGAGTGAACTGAAATTGTCCTCAACCATCTCGTTTGAGAATCTGGAAAATGAAATCCTTAGCCTGAGGAAGATGAAAATGAGACTTGAAGAGGAGGTTGCAGAACAAGTGGGACTTAATAACAACCTTCAGCAAGACATTTCATGTTTGAAGGAGGAAATCAAGGGCCTAAACAGGAGCTACCAGGCTTTGGTGGAGCAAGTGAATGGTGCAGGTTTAAATCCTGAGTGTATTGAGTCTTCAATAAAGAGCTTGCAGGAACAAAGCTCAGAGCTGAGAATAATCTCTGAGAAGGACAAAGTAGAGAAAGAAGTCCTTCACAAAAAGCTGGAGGATATGGATGAACTTCTGAGAAAGAAGGCTGTTTTGGAGAGTTCCCTGTCCGATGTGAATGGGGAATTGCAGGGATCGCAGGAAAAGGTGAAAGCGCTGCAAGAGTCTTGCCAAATTCTCGATGGAGAAAAATCGACCCTCGTTGCTGAGAAATCCGCTTTGCTATCTCAGTTGCAAATTATAACTGAGAGCATGCAGAAACTCCTAGAGAAAAATGCTGTTCTTGAGAACTCTCTTTTTGGTGCAAAAGTTGAACTGGAAGGTCTCAGGGAAAAATCCAAGGGTTTAGAAGAAATCTGCCAATTGCTGAAGAATGAGAAGTCCAATCTTCTTGCTGAAAGAGGTAGCCTAGCTCTTCAGTTAGAAAGCGTTGAACGGAGACTAGAATACCTGGAATCAAGATTTACAGGATTGGAAGAAAAATATGCTTGCCTGGAGAAGGACAAAAAAGCAACTAGCTTAGAAGTAGAAGAACTAAGAGCTGCAGTTGGAATGGAGAAACAAGAAAGGGCCAAATTTTCTCATCAGAGTGTGACCCGATTAATTAGTATGGAAAACCATATTCATCTCCTACAAGAAGAAAGTAAGTGGAGGAACAAAGAATTTGAAGAGGAGCTCGACAGAGCTGTGAAAGCCCAGTGTGAAATTTTCATCCTGCAGAAATTCATACAAGACATGGAAGAAAAGAATTATACTTTGTTGGTTGAGTGTCAGAAACATGTTGAGGCGTCAAAATTGGCTGACAAGCTGATTACAGAGTTAGAGAATGAGAGCCTTGAGCAGCAGGTCGAAGCAGAGCTTTTGCTAGACGAAATTGAAAGGCTGAGACTGGGGATATATCAGGTTTTCAAGGCCCTTGACAATGAATCTTATTTTGTATCTGAAGATAAGGTCGAAAATGAACAAAGTTTTCTGCATCATATTTTGGGCAATATCGAGGATCTAAAATGTTCGCTCGGAGAATGCGAGGATGATAAGCAGCAGGTGTTGGTTGAAAACTCTGTTCTCCTAACTCTACTTGCACAGCTGAAATCAGAGGCCCTGGAACTTGAGTCGGCGAAGAAATCTGTAGAGGAGGAGTTCAATGTCATGGCGGAGAAGCTTGTCACAGTGCAGAAAGACAATCATGAACTCCTAGAGATGAATAAGAAGTTGGGACTTGAAGTGAGCAGGGGCAGTCAACTAACAGCTGTACTTGATGCAGAAGTTGGGAGTCTGTCCGTCAAGCATGATCAGTTGCAGACAGCTTATGTTGAATTAAAAAAGAAATACTCTCAAGTTCTTGAGGAGAACAGAACTTTGTTGCAAACAATCACAGAGATCAGGGAGGAGAAATGGACGGTGGAGCAGGAAAATGATACCGTTTTACTCGATAGTATAGCTCTTAGCAATCTCTCAACAGTTTTGATGAGTATTGGTAGTGAGAAAACTGCCGAGCTGAAGTCAGTATGTGAAGATATGCACAATCTTTATGGTGTAATTAGTGACTTTGATAAGGAGATGGGCATATTGAAGGAGAAGCTGGAAAGGAAGGAAACTGAAAACTTACTCCTCAAGGAATCAGTTCAAAGACTAGAAGAGGAGCTCCATGAAGTCAGGGAATCTAACGGTCATTTGAAGTTGGAACTTTCCACTGGAAAAGAATTATTTGATAAGCAGGAAGCAGGGCTCTTGGAAGCCAATCAGAAGCTTATAACATCTGAGAATTTGAACTCAGAATTGTGTAGGACTCTGGATGCACTAAAAACTGACCGTCAAGAATCCATGCAGACAAATGAAATTCTAGAAAAGAAGATAGTTGAAATATCAAATACAAATACTACTCAAAGCCAAGAAATTGAAGTCCTTCGGGAAGTGAATATGAACTTGGTAGCTGAACTGGGTAAGTTGCATGAAGAAATTGAAGCGCAACGAATGCGAGAAGAATATTTAAGTTCGGAGCTCCAAGAGAAGAACTATGAATTTGAACTATGGGAAGTAGAGGCAGCAACCTTCTATTTTGATCTCCAGATCTCCTCTGTTCGCGAAGTACTGCTGGAAAACAAAATGAATGAGTTGACTGAGGTGTGCGAGAGACTCGAGGATAAAAATGCTTCCAAAGATTTGGAGATTGAACGGATGAAAGGAAAAATTAATTTGATGCAGAGTGAAATTGGAGAACTGAAGTCTCAGTTACATGCACATGCTCCTGTAATTGCTTCTCTGAGGGATGACGTTGTTTCACTTGAGCATAATGCTCTTCTCCTCATGAAAGTTAATCTAGCTGGCTCTCAGGAATCAAAGGTAATAAACTTTCTCATATGTAAGCAATTTTATTTTTTTATTTTAGTATTTGCTACAGCTAACAATATATCTATGTTTGGGTTTGAATGGAATTCTGGTCTTTCTGTACATGACCGTTGCTTTAAAACATCAATTAGTGATTTGATTGCTCAAAGATTTCCTCCATATGTCATTGAAAATATACTTTTAATGCATCTTTCCTTTACTTCCTAATACAATTCTTGGCCAAGAGTTTCTTTTAAAATTCTTGCTTGAGGATTGTAAATCTTTTATGAGCTAGTTCCAGTGAAGAGTTTCTATCATGATTTCTCGTGTCTTAGGGCTAAACCATTTTTATATTTTCCGAGAGTCATAAGCTTATAGCCTGCAATAAATTGTCAAAGGATATCTAGTTGAACAAACATTCCTTTAACAAATTGTATTATATTGCGGAGTTGTCTTGTGGGTACATTGAAAACTATCTTGTTCTGAAAATTTGATAAAGTGCTCCAGAATATATACAGCATCAGCATTTCCCAAGTTCTCAACCCTGTTCTTAAGTTTCAGTCTGAGAATGTAGCGATGAGCTCCAACTTTTTACTGAAATTTGTTCTTGCTGCTTGCATTTGCAGTGTGTTGAAGTTGAGGTTCATTCAGATCAAGTTAGCTCCAACAAGCTGACAGATGGTCAATCCATCGTGCCAAAAGGTGTTTTTGATTTGCAGGAGTTGAGGACTAGGATTAAATCAGTTGAGAAAGTAGTGGAAGATATGAACAAGCCTATTTTGCATCAACCGTTACCCATCAAGGCTGTCCGAGATAGTACTGCTAGTGAAATTGAGGTATTAAAATCTCAGCACACTCCGGATCGAGAGAAACACGAGCTTGCAGGAAGGAGGGGTCATCAGAATGAGCATGGTGATGACCGTAATCGACGTAAAGCAAAGCCTAAGTCCTTTGAAGTAAAAAATGGGACGCTAATGAAAGATATACCACTTGATCATGTCTCTGATAGCTCACCGGAAAGAATTAGAAGAGCTACTTCTGCGGCAGAGAGAGTGGATGATCAGATGCTTGAGCTGTGGGAATCTGCAGAAGGCAGCAGCCTCAGTCGTAGCATGAAGGATTTTAAGAAGCGGGCAAATCATCCAACAGAGGGGCCTACCTCGAACAATCAATTCAGGAATTTGGATTGGAGGGGCAAACATCCACCTACAGAGTCAGAAGTGGAGAAGGAGTTGGGTGTGGACAAGTTAGAGTTATCAATGAACTCGTCCGAGGCAAATCAAGAAATGAACAAGAAGATTCTCCAGCGACTTGCTTCTGATGCAGAGAAATTGATGAGTCTTCAGATGACTGTTGATAACCTGAGAAGAAAGTTGGAGTCAAACAGAAAGGCCAGAAAGCCCAAAAATGTCGATTTTGAAACAGTTAAGGAGCAGCTACAAGAAGTTGAGGAGACGGTCGTACAGCTGGTGAATTTGAATAGCCAATTGATGAAGAGTACAGAGGAAAGTAGCTCATATTCTACGGGAAGTGCTTCAGCAGACTCGAAAGAGGTGATGAATATCTGTCAGAAGAGAGTTTCAGAACAGGCAAGAAAGGGGTCTGAGAAGATTGGACGGCTGCAGCTAGAGATTCAGAAAATTCAGTACATTTTGCTGAAACTGGACGACGAAAAGAAAAGCAAAGCCAGGAGCAGATTTTCCAGGAGCAACACAGGGATCATACTGAAGAACTTCATCCATATCGGGAGGAGGAACAGTGAGAAGAAAAAGAAGGGTCATCTTTGTTGCTCTAGACCTTCCGGTAGTAGCAGCAGCAGTAACAGCAACATCAGATATCGCGTCTAATGGTTCTAACCTTACTATTCTGATCATTTCTTCTGTGTCAGAGAGAAACTGATCGTTGTCTAGTTTTAGAAGAAGCGTTAAGAGTTTGAATGGACCTAATTCCAAAATAAGCTTGGTCATGGATACTATTTTGATTATTCAGACTTTTAACTGTAATGAATTTTAGCAGTGGTTTGTAATTCTTATGTTTGTGAAATTCTCGAGGGTTATAGGTGTTTGTATGGAGCCAGTATGCTTCAGCTTGTGCATGCAGATTTCTGCTAAATCCTTATTATGCAAGCCTATTAACTAACTCCGTTATATTGATAGTAATTTGATATGTTATAGGAGGTAATTAGTCTATATTTAGGGCTACTACATCCTTGTTGTGTAAGTTATGTAGGTTAATGATAAAAATGAAATTTCTTTTCTTGTAACTATGAGTAATTCACATGAGATGAAACCAACCAGCAAAATTCATTTTTAATAAGACAAATGGTAGCTATCCGCAAATTGTAAGACTACAAAAGCTCATTGATACAAATCTTGATTCTATGATTTCCAAATACAAAAGAACACCTTTAACCCCGTTCCATATACTCTTGCAAAAGATGCAGTATCACTATTTGGCAATTTTGAAGCACCAACTTGCTTTTCTTACGTACCTTCAATTTTTTTTTTCTTTTTTTAATTTTTATCCTGCGTCTCTTCTGTTTATTTTTCTCCTATCTCCATTTTCTTCCCTTTATTTCTTTGTTGGTTTTGCAGTTGAAAATTCCTTCTTATACTTTTCTTTATTGTGGGCATTATTGTATTATTGATTTTTTCGGTTAGTTATAATTCTAAATTGAAGGTTGACACAAAATAGATTCAGTTTCTCGTCACTTAAGCATTCGGTAAAGATAGAGATTGACTAAAAAACACAATTAAACGGTTAGGTTTCAACAACACTTTTAGGTATTCTTCTTTCCTTATTTTTAAAATTATATTCTTTACCTGTTTTTAGTCTTTTAGTTATCCAAGTGTAGTTTCTTTATTTCATTTCTATTCACGATTGTGATCATTAGTGACAGCATTGCTGCTCGTAAAATAATGGACTAATTGATGATTTATTTTGGTTTAGGCATTTTGGAGTATTAAGATTTCTGAAAGAAACGTCAGAAGAATTCTTCACGAATGTTTAGAGCGTGCAAATCTATTTATCTTTTTTTCTTGTGTTATGCCTTTGGATTTTGCTTTGTTCTCTTTTTTTTGTTTCCTCTTCAGGTTTCGTTTACTTTTTACTTACTTAGATGAAGTTAAATGACTCTGTAAAATTTGCAGACTGGAGTTTGATTTCCATACCTTACTTTTGAATATATTGTTTTCTTAATTCTGTTGTATGACATTTTTAGTCTTTTTTTATTCACCTATCACTATCACGACAATTAGTGATTTAGCATTTCTACTTCTAAAAATAATTGACTAATTGTCATCATGATTATTTAGTGTATCGATTTAATTGTCTTATTTTCTTTAATTATGTTCTGCCTTTAGATTTGGTTTATCTCTTCCTTCTTCCTTTTTTATTTTCAAGTTTCATATATCATTTTTACTTATTTAAATGACATTAATTTACTTGTGAATGTGCAGGCTCGCACATGTTCTGCATATTCCTTCCCGTAACCTTTCTTTCCGACACAGCTTTTGAGGCATTCTAAGTATTCGTAGGAAAATAAATGTTATCTCTGTCCTTCATTTTACATCGTCTACTCTTTAATATTGCAAAACTATTGGAAAGAACAAAGTCAAACTGCCCCCTTCATGATTTCATCACTATATGATTTTACTTCTTATATTGTTACAAGTTTCAGGAGAGAAAAAATATAAGTTTGTTCCACTTTCTTCTTAGATCTTTGACCTCTAAATATAATCACTAATGAATATTCATTATTTTAACATGAACATTAATTTATCTTCTCTAATTAAGTAGCCGATTGTTCCTTGAGAACTTTGTCATTATAAGAGTACAAAATTAAAAATGCGGTACTTTTATTTGAAATTTTTATTTTATTTTTTGAAAATATAAAATCCTCTTCATTGATATCAACTACATTGGCTAAAACACGTGTTTTATCGCGCGGATAAATTAACTAGTGTCAGTATAAAGTTATATGAGGATTGCCCAACTTTTTTAGAAGCTTTGTTATGGAGTTGTCATCCTAGGAAGCTCATTTTGGGCTCATCAACGATTGAAATGATTCATGTCCATCACTTTAATGCATATGAAGAATTCAAGTCATTCGTCTTGACATAGTCAAGTAAAAGAAACAAAAGCCTACAAATTTGATCGGAGAAACTAGAGTCAGCAGTTTATGGAGCTCTGAAGTGAGGAGTTGACAATAAGGACGGTAAAAATTTACCTGCACTGTGTTTGCACCCGATTTAGTTAAATTAACCACGCAAAACAAACTAAGGTCTAGAGGCATATTTTAAATAAACAATAAAAAAAAACATGTACAATCGTTAGGGTCATCGTCATTCTTTCTTCTTCTAGCGTTTTGGTATATTCTGAAGCTTTGGGGAATTCTTTCTTCAGTTTTTTATTTCTTAATTGGAAATCAGAAGCCGCAATTCCAAAACTACATCTTGGTTGGAATTTTTCGTGTAGAATGATTCGGTAATAGCAATTTGAAACATCTGGAAAGAGAAGCTTGTCTTTTAAAATTTGATGGTAGCATTCAAGAAAATCTTTGATTGCTTTTATAGGCTAATAAAACTTTTTGTAGGAAATCCTTGAATGCTATGTTGGCTAAAACAACCAATTACAAAATCAAAGTTGCGCTCTTCATTTCCTTCTATTGATTTCGAGTTTGTGAATGAAGATGTACCTTAAGCTTTTTACTAGAAAAGTTCCTCGATTTAAATGATTTTATCCCTTTAACTACTAGTTTCACATGAATTTCTCGTCTTACCAAAATCTTCTCCATTATTGCGAATTTCTGGTTATTATATTCAGGTATAGCATTGGCCACCTATCACATATCATATTCTTATCTAAGTTTATGTTAGGATATTGAAAATGAAATATAGGTATTATAAGATAAGAGATTGAATTGTGAAAGGCTTCTATTCTTATTGAGTATAACAGAGTTGTATAAATAGGAGAGAGTTTGTTATACATAGGAGAATCCTAGAGATAAGGGAAAATATAATTTGTTACAATTTCAAATACAGAGACCTATCAAAATAAACTATGTGTATTTAGCCTTATCATGCCCCCTCAATATGGGCTCAATCTCCTTGAAGCCAATCTTGTGAATGAATTGTCCAAATGATCGTTTAGGCCGTGCCTTTGTCAAAGCATCAACAAGTTGATTCCCAGTAGGTATGTGACTCAGTGAAAGCTCATTTCTTTCTACTTGATCACAGACAAAGTGGAAATCAATAGCCACATGTTTCATTCGACTGTGAAAGACTGGATTTCGACTTAAATAGGTAGCACCAATATTGCCACAGAGTACCTTAGGAGGGTTGGACATGGAAACGTGCAATTCCTTCAGTAAATTTGTGATCCAATTAAGCTCAGCTACAACTCTATATTCTGCTTCAGTAGACGATCTAGCAAATATGCGTTGCTTTTTGGAGCACCAACATATTGGATTATTGCCAAGAAATATAACATAGGCAGAAGTTGAGTGCCTGGTATCTGGTAGACCACCCCAATCAGCATCTGAGTAAGCTAGCAACTTGAAAGAAGTGGGCGTAAAGTGAAGACCATAAGTAATGGTACCCTTTAAGTAGCGTAGAAGTCTCTTGGCTGCTTGCCAATGTTTCAGGCTTGGTCGATGCTGAAACTGAGCAAGTTTGTTCACTACAAAATATATATTTGGATGAGTGAATGTTAGATACTGTAAGGAACCAATAATCTGCCTGTATAACTTGGCATCTGCAGATGATGATCCATCATCAAGTGAAAGAGGTTCATTGGTTGACATCGGAGTGCTAACACTGTTCGCATCAAGCATGCCGAATTTTTCCAGAAGATCAGCGATGAAGCTGCTTTAGGCGAGAACCAAACCATGAGCATGCTGCAAAACTTCAACACCAAGGAAAAAATGTAAAGAACCAAGATCTTTAATGGAAAACTTGTCACCTAGTAGTTTGATGGTAGTTTGGACATGAGAAGAGTTGGAAGTAGTGACAGCGATATCATCGACATAGACCATCACAAAAAGTAATGAGCTGGTAGTGCATTTTAGGAATAATGAGTCATCAGATTTAGCCCTTTGAAAATCACATGATAGAAGGTACTATTTGAGCTCGTTGTACCATGCCCTGGGTGCTTGACGAAGTCCATATATTGACTTATGAAGCTTGCATACATGTTGTAGAAATTTAGGATCCTTAAAACTGGGTGGTTGATTCATGTAGACAACTTCATGAAGTGTACCTTGTAAGAAGGCATTGTTCATATCTAATTGTCGCAAGGGCCACTTGAACGACACCGTAAGTACAAGAATTAAACGTATTGTAGTATGTTTGATCACAGGACTAAAGGTGGAATGAAAGTCTATACCATGTTGTTGGTGAAAACCCTTTGTAACTAATCTCGCTTTGTAGCGATCCACAGACCCATCAGGTTTATACTTGACACGATAAACCCACTTGCAACCAACTACATTTTGAGATGGAGATGAGGAACCAAAGTCCAAGTGGAATTTCTCATAAGGGCAGTAAATTCATCCTTCATGGCTGTTTTCCATTCGGGATACTTGTTTGCTTGGGCAAAAGTTGTCGGAGCAAGAGGAAGCAGTTTGGTGGAAGTGATAGCAAGATAGTCAAAGATAACTTTTGGTTTGAAGATATTGTTCTGGGATCTCATGACCATAGAGTGAGTAGGAGAAGGTGGCAAAGGTTGTGGTGGAGGCAAAAGAGATTGTGCAACATGAGACATAATGGTGGGCATGCCTGAAGTAGAGGGTGAGGGTGAATTAGTTGAGGTACTTACATCAGTACTGGATGAGACGTCCTCTGCAGTAGTTGGAGTTGCAGTGATCTCTTAAGTAGTCCTTGGGACAACCAGGTCGATGGCTTGAGGTATAAGAGGTGGAATGCATGATTCATTGGTACAAGGTAGGGAAATTGAGGAGGAGGAAGCTACTGGATAGTGCCAAGACTCCAAGTTGGAGGTTGAAGCGCGATCAAGGGAATGGAAGTTCAACTTGAATGGAAAAATATGTTCGACAAAGACAATATGTCGCGAGAGAAAAACTTTTGAGGTAGAGAGATCTAGGCAAGCAAAATTGTTAGTGACAGAGGAGTACCCCATAA